GAACCAAAACGTTTATTTTTATGCATTGTGCGATGGGAGAAACCCGATATAAAAAAATTCTGGTAAGACACTCTTTAGAGATCCCACATGCCTTTGACTGATAATAATGACCTACTTTTACATTTTGCAGTAGTCCGGAATTCCCTTTTTCGTTAACTTTCGCCAATATAAGGTCAACTTTCCATTAGTGGGCATCAGTTGCCTGAGCAACAGGAGTTTATGGCAATGGAGTTAATTCTATTAAGCTCATTAAAACGACCATATCTGGTTTTAATTTAATATTCTTTGATCACCTTCGACACAATTACATGTTCATTTACACTCGTTAACCACGAATTAAGTGTTTAGCCACCAATCCCCCAAGACAGTTGGGCAGGGAGAATAGGTACCTAGGCCGCCCTACAAGACACTTTACCAAAAGTTTAAAATATATCTCTCCTGAACCGGAAATTCCAGCCTTACGTTTATGAATAACAGACGAAAGCAAACGCAAGCAATCGCATTGTTTTCCGAAAGAAGAAACAATTTCACTGAAAAATTATTTCATGCCAAAGATTGAAATGATTGAGCACAAAACCCAGTTAAAAAGGTTTTGCCGCATTTTGGTTTACCATATCAAAGATTTGCGACGGTAATCAAATTTTACCGTGTAGCTGGACACTGGAAACAATCTTGTTAGACCGAAAGCATGTAGAACGATAGGCCTTTGTATAATATAGCCTCTGCTAATGCGAAATTTGGAAACGGAACAGAGAAGTTTAACCATTTTTGAGCAAAGGTAGTTTAAGTAGTGCACCTTATATGCCCCAACCCCTAGCAGTCTGTCGTGCGGGACCGGTGGTAATGCGGGGCTCTGGGGGAGGGGGGCAGTATAAAATAGGCAGTGAATGAAATTTTTAGAAATAAGTGTTTCCCTCGGCCGCTGGGAGTAAGTTGTCCCGCAGGTAGGACTATACTAATCTAACTCCCAAATGATAAGTTGTACCTCAGGCAGGTTGAAGTAGACGACCTCCTAAGCACCATTTCTATCTTTTCAGGAATTTCAAGAAACCTGCATTTTGATAATTGAGTTTTTCTGTAAGATGATAAACGATGATATAGATTAGGAAAAGCTACAGCTACAACTCAAGAACACTTCTAAATACAATAAAATAAAAATGCATACTGCAGTTATTTAAGTGTATTCCACTGCCTATTCTAATTGCCTACCCAAGAAACTACTATAACCATTGTTTCCGTAGGAAAAAAAAATGCTGGGACTAGGGATGTATGAGGTGCAGTACGTAAACAACTTTTCACAATTTTTGCAACATTGCAGTATACTTTTGCGATCTTAGAACCTGGCCTAAATGTAATCCAATACAGGGTGTCCCAAAAAATGTATACACAGTTTACATAATTATAAAATTGCTATTTATCATAATTTTATTATTAAATAAATGTAAAGATATTTACAAGTATCATTTTACTGGTTTTTTTTCAATTAATGTCCCCAAACTGACTTCCATTTTGATCATGACCCTGCTGACAACGCGAAGCAATGGAATCGTACATACCATGAAACAATGCCCTTCGTATTCGGGTGCATTAATGTTCAGAGACCTCTTTTAATTCAGCCACTGTTGCAATAGTCAAAACGCTGTGAAAAACACTAAAATGAAACTCGTAAATATTTGTACGTTTTTCAAATAATAAAATTATAATAAACACCAAGTTTACTATTATTTAAAATGTGTATACATTTTTGGGACACCCTGTATGGTGAAAAATACTACAATATAGGGAGAAGAGCGAGTTCTTTCATTTCTAGCCAAAAGTGTATAATTTAATTTCAGACAAATTAAAAAACGGAACAAAACTCTCTTTGATGCTACCTTGGAAAAAGTTTACATGCACAGATAGTAATCAGGTGAATATCTAAGTAAAGTGTTCTTAGAAGAGGAACCATATTATAAAACGTTCTTGAAGTGCTTTTAAGTGCAACACTATCAGACTTCTATTGTGGGCGTTCTCGTTGCTCAACACTGAGTTTTAGTGCTTTGCGTAGTGTATAAATATTCCTCACATGGCCATCTTCTAAAGAACCAGTATGCAAAAAATTCACGTTTTTGTTAAATACTTTTAAAAAATATCTTAATTTAAAGTCTTCGTATGGACATCGAGCAGAGTCTAAATTTATGGAAGAAAGCTTGAAAATTTCGGCATTTTGCACAGGTTTTAGCCGCATTATATACCCAGGGGACTTGCGAAATGCATCCTTACCGATGAGGCGTCGGCAGGCGAGTTCGGGAGCCAGAGCAGATTTACTGGCAGCATACAGTACAGAGGTGAAAGCGTTTGTGCAATCCGCAGGCATCTCCTCAAACGGGCTGTCAGTTTGCATGAACCACCGCAATGTAGGCACCTCCTCATATCACAGAAGAGGGATCTGATGCTAACTAAGGTCTCAACACAATCTACCGAGCAGTCGGATAAGCGGATTGGTCAGGCTTCGGGTGCACAGAAAAGAGCGGGGTGGGGTTCGCACCGAGAAACGCTTTTGTATGCCAAATGCGGGCATTTCCCACTAGAAACAAATCATGGCTTGGAAGGCTGCCAGCTGACAGGATAAATAAATCCCCTTCTTCGGAATGAGGGATGAACCACAAGGGCTTCTCGTAAACATGACCACCGCCAGCAGCCGCATAGCGCCGAGTGTTCTATGCAGAAGGACATCATCGATGAGGACAGGGGAGACTAGCGTGGCCATTTCTGGATTACGAGCCGTCATCAGTCAATCAGACCCATGATTAAGGTCTACTATCGGTCTACCACCCTAAGAGTCCTGGCCCACAACAATCTCTCTCAATCGTTCGATATCCGGTCTGGTGT